AACTTACATGAATTCTAGAACCTCCTCAAAATTACAAAAATGATGACTAAAAACATTTCTTGAGATGAATCAAGCACCAACACTTCTGCCTCCCCAACCTCATGCCTGAGCCCTAGTCACCAGTCCAGGGTATCTGCTTTGCCAGAGCACGATCAAGATGTCCGTATGTCCTTACAGACACCAAAATGATCTCCCTGACATCTGAGCAATGCTTTATTGCTTTTATAATCTGAGTTGATGAGAGACCCCTCAAAGCTGAAATGGAATAGAGCCAGAGAGAGGAAAACATAGCTAAGCCTTGTTCTACATGGCTTTGCAGCCTGGCTTACTTTGGCAACCTCAAAAGAAAGACCATGTAAGTGTGCATAGCACTTCCCATTTCTGAATAAAAACTTAATTACGGGTATTTCTAACTAGACACTTGTAATTTTTCACTATGGCTAATGTAAACCTATACTTCTGGCAGGAAAAGGACAGACAAACTAGCGAGGAATGAGATATGTGTACAGTCTTGATTACAGAACTAAAGAACAATCGTTTCAAAGGATTGCACTTGGGCTCCCTGGGTGCCTTAAACTTCTTTAAACTGGCAACAGAGATCACTTTTATCTTCTATTTCTTGGTCTCTCCAACCCCTTACTCCTTCTGTCCCTACCTTCAGTGACGAGTGCTCTCCTGCTGAGCTCATACACCCATCCCTGATCTCTATCTCTTGTAAAGAGATCTTGACTAGGGCAGAAATACCTTACATGTGTAGCATTACAAGTGCTCTGAGTTTTCTTCTAAGCTGTGTCACTCTGTCCTAACTCTACAGGTTTACCTTGGTAAAGTCAAGAAACCGAGCTTAAAAAAGCTTAAACTGGAATATATGCAGGACTTGTACAGAGTAGGTATTACTAATGTTTACTGAATTAAGATCCCCCAGAAGCTAGTTACTTGTGTCTTAAAATTACTGTTTTAACCAGGATTGTTTCTGATCCCATGTAGGAAGTGGCACTGTAAGGAGAGGGAGGTACTTACTGACAAGTCGGCTTCTCCTTTCTTACTCCCGTCTTTTTGCTCTTCAATCACAGCTCTGACGGCATATCAAATTCCTAGTACACTGCTTGGACTTAAGCCTGACCTGGCCATGAGGAAAGCATTCCCCACTGCCCATTCCACCACCTTACTCTAGGACCAGCGGCCTAGGCCACAGAGCATGCAGTGCATTGCAGGAGGAGGGGCTGCTGAGGGACATGTTATGTACCTTCAGGTCTACCAGCACTCATCCGCTTAGGGACAACGAACACTGGGGGCTAAATCAATATTAAATCTCAACGATTCACCAGTGGCTTTGGATCATGGTTTCTGCCTAAATTAGAGATAAAAATGAATAGGAAATATGGTCAGGATGTCCCCAACCCACCCTTAAGAAGTAAACAACACTTAGGTCAGATTCCTAAGGAGTTAACTGTAAGTATGAAGACCCACTCACTCTTGCCAGCCAGCTAGCTCCAATAAGCCCTTGGGAGAACAGACTTCAGGAACACAGTAAGAACCCAAGGCGCTGGCATAAGACGGCATTCTTTCCCTGGCAGTGGCACTGGCGTGATTTCTGAAGTGGCACGAGTATCTGGGACTGGACGTGAGAGGTCACGCATACTGTACAGGTGGCCTAACATCAGAGCTTCCTGCAGTAGCACTAAAAGGCCATCATCTGTGTTGTGGCTTGCGTCTAGATGTCCCAAAGCCTCATGCAGTCTTTCCCAGGTAGCCAAGTCTGGAATGTGTGATGCCAAGATTAAGGGTGTGTGATTACTAAACCACCACACCCGAGTTGCTAGTTTGGCAGTGCCCTAATCCAGGTATTCTGAATAAAAGGAGCAAAAGACACTGTGAAGGTCCCTTGTTGCCTTTGCTACCTTGTGTGCACAATGTTGTTTCTCCTCTGCAATGTCTGTTTTAGCTCCCTGTCTTGCAGCCAGCCAATTATGAACTGAAATCTCTACGAACTGTAGGCCAAAAAACCCTTTAACTTTTGGGGCCTGGTATTTTGTCTCAGCAATGAGAGAAAAGTAACCAACACAATCTGTGAACGCCTCTAAATTCTTCTCAGACCTTTTGGGTTTTCCTCACCTCTTCAGGCAGTGACTTCTCCAACCATGCCACTAGCTCTGTAAATAAATATGCCTTATATTTCCATTGAAGATGCTCCTTTCAAATTTCAAAGGTAATGACATATTCAGATATTCGGCCAATTGGTTCCAGTTCCAGTTATCACATTTTACAAAATGTTTAGGAGGCTGGGCATGGTAGCGCACGCTTGTAACCCCAGCACCTGGGAGGCTGAGGCAGGAGGATCGCTGTGAGTTTGAGACCAGCCTGGGCTACATTCCAGGTCAGTCTCAACTATGTAGCGAGACCTTGTCTCAAAAAGCAAAAAAAAAAAATATTTAGAAGAATAAATCCTCCAAGAAAAAACAAGAAAAGTTAAAAACCCACAAACATAATTACTATCCCCCACTTAATTTTTTGGTGGTACTAGGAACTGAAGGGCTTTTCACTGAGCTACATTCCAAGTCTTAAAAAAAATTTGAGACAAATACTTACTAAGTCACTAAATTAAGTGACTAAACTGGAGTCCTTCTGCCTCAGCCTCCCAGAATGCTGGGACTGTAGGCATACACCATAACACCTGGCTCACAGTTACCCTCTTGAGGAATAAGGACCCTAAATACACTGTCGTCTTAGAACAGCTCCGTGGGAATTACTTCCCTTTCACCATGTTACCTTTAGTGATCAGAGAAAGCTACTGTAGCAGATGACTGATACAAGAAAGAGACTACTGAGAAGCATGTACAGTGGTGGTGGGATGAGGAAGAAACGGAAGCTCGGGACCCTGGGAAAAGGGAAGCTGGAATGAGGCACTGATTGGGGACCAGGTGTTCAGCTTTACAACAGCCCTGGAGGGAGAGTTATCAACCCACTGGCCCCTCTCTCACCTGACATGGAAAACAAAGCTGAAGGTGATGGGCTCCTGCAGTAGTACACAGATCTGGATAAGAACCTGAGTATGGGGCTGTGGACTTAGCTCAGTGGTGCTGCCGCCTGCCTCGCAAGTGCCAAGGTCCTGAGTTCCATACCCGTACGAAGAAAGAAGGAAAGAAAGAAAAGGAAGGAAGGAAGGAACAAACAAACGTGAGTATGTCTTCAACATCCTTGTGCCATTTACTGCTCTGAGTTCATTTCAGGACACTGGCTAGTTACCATTTTGGAATACGTACTAGTCAGTAAAGAAGAAAGCAACTTTAAAAATGTACAAGGACTTGTTATAGGCCTCAGGGAATGTTCCTCTGATTCCATTTAACTCAGCCCACAGTAAAACCCACCAAGCCTAACACCAAAAGCTCAGAGTAACTCTTCACAAGGCTAAGAAGCAAAGTACTATTCTCACTTATGTAAGACATCTGTAATGTAAGAGAGCTTTCTCATCTTCAACCTAATGACATTTCTTATATTATCCATGGCAGACCTCAATACTCATTTGCCTGTTCCTAGTTATCTACATTCACTTAGAGACCAAGGTTGCCCGACAAACATTTTCAATTCTATTTCATCATGATATGTACAAAGTAGTCTTTTATACTACTGGGGCTAAATTAGTCTCATCTAGTTTTGAAATATCCTTTTATGTCAGAGTAGGCGTGCTTTTTAATTACATTTTGAAGAATCTATGCCACTAACAACTGGAATATTTATATATTTTCTGCATTGTCTTATAATATGCCTTTTAAAGTTCTTTATATTATTTTTAAAAGTTAGAAGTTGAGGGCTGGGGATTTAGCTCAGTGGTTCCAGTGCCTGCCTTGCAAACACAAGGTCCCAAGTTCAATCCCCGTTACCAAAAAAGAAAAGAAAAAAAATTAAAATGTTGGGGTTTTTTTTGTTTTTGTGTTTGAGACAGGGTCTCGTTATTTTGCCAGGCTGGCCTCAAATTTGTGATCCTCCTGCCTCAGCTTCCCAAGTAGCTGAGATTTATGGGTGTATGCTCCTGCACCAAGCATAAAAAATGAGTTTTAAACTCCACGTTCTTATGTATTTTTAGTCTCTGAGATATTCAGAGGGTAACGTTATATATTTTTAATTTTGTGAACTAATCAAATAATATTTATTACATATTGCTATTGTGGTTTAAAAAAAGAAAACATGCAAGCAAGAATTTCTAGAATTGTTATTACTGATGCTCCCACCGGAAGAGGATGGTCTGTGCCACGGACTGTTACAGTGGGGTCTGAGGGTCAGTTCTCATCTGCACTTCCTTTTATGAATATGTCTCTCTCTTGCGAAGATGAGTATCCTGGAGGGAGGGGTTTGCAAAACATCACCTCTTTCCAACTAAAGACTATAAACTTCCCAAGCTAGTTAATGCTGTGTGAAGGTCTAGACCAATGGCACATGTATTATCTGTTTGTCTTTTAAGACAAAAGATGTTAATGTAGGAGTTATTTTTTTCTAATCTAAAACCTTGGTATCCAGGTTTAATTGCAATGTTGGCACTTTGCAATAAATAAGTGGGTTTTGGGTTACAGTTTGGGCACCTGTCTCTAAAAGGTTTACCATCTCTGGTCTCTACTCTGAAAGAAAAGGACTTCTAAGGTGGTTAAAAATCTGTTTTCAAGTGAATTGTTTTTATCCTTTGCGATATTCCTCTTCTTTCAAACATATGAACTCAAAGGCAGCAGTGAGTGTTTTCATGTTGTCTTCAGGTATGACACTTTCTGACGTTAAACTGCCCTACATTACTGGCTATGGCTAGAGATTCACTCCACTGCCATGAGTAATGTTTGTGTTTGTGCAAAATTTAGGATAAAAGTCAAATGCCATTTCACAAGTATTGTTAAACATCAAGCTAGTTACTAACCCAAAAGGATTTTGTAAGATATTCCTTAAAAGAGAGAAGGATCTGCAGCAAAATCAACTAACCAAATAATATAAAAGCATTAAAGAAAACCATCACTTACCAAAGTAAAACTTCTGGACCGAGAACTGCTGCTCCGACTCTCCAAGCTCCCTCCTCTGCTCAAGTCACTGAGTCTGCAGCTGGGTGACATGTCAGAGTCCATCTCCAAAGAATCTGACTTGTGGCGGTTGACAGGCATCCCCACAAAAACCTCGGCGCTGGCTTGCTCACAGGGTGTGAGGCAGGAGCCAGTATCCCATCCTGAGGCAGAAGAGTACTTCTAGGGAAATCAAGCACAAAGTGACAACAGTTAGTGGGTCTAGTTAGTAAAATGCTGTATTGGTCAGGTTTCTGTCACTGGGACAAAACACATGACACCCACAATTTAAAAGGGAAGAGGTTTATTTGGCTCATGGCTTCAGGTTTTAGTTCATGATCCACTGGCTCCAATGCAAAAACATCAGGGCAGAAGGGCAGAGCGGAGGAAAGCTGCTCACTTCATGGCAGTGGGAAAGCAGAGCACAAGGGAAGAGCCAGGGAAACAAGGGCTAGGGACTCGTGACTCACTTCCCCCACCTCGGCCCCATCTCCTCATAGCCCATTCCGCGTTAAACTCGCCAATGGGTTAAGCCACTGATGAGGTTAGTGACCTCACAGTCTGATCACCGGCCTTGTGGTCCCTTAATCCAGGTTAACAATCAAGATTAAGGAGCACAAATGCCTCATCCATCAGAAACAGAAGGTCAGCGTGTGTGCTGTTCATCTGCATTCACAGACTCAGGTATTACAGCAAAGGCAGTCAGACACCAGGGGACAACTGTGTGGGATGCTGCTGCTTTGTTTGTCCATCATACTGTTACCCATTCTGAAGATGTAAGAATTATTTTTAAGGAAAGACCGAGGTACTAAAACTTACTCTGGTGCTAAAGTGACTTTTCTAAAATGATGCTTTGGGAACCTTTTTTTTTTGCACTGTGGTTCTACATTCTCAGGCTTGCTCACACTCAGGCTTTTCTGTCTTTTTTGCCTCAGGCATCACAAAACTGGCTCTTTTTCTAGCTTACTGCGCTCAGAGTTAAGGTAAAGTGACAAAAACTACGATGTTACCAACGGAAGTCTGGCTGACATCTTCAGGCTTGAGGACTCTTTGGAACCCCATTCTATTGCAACTTCCACATAAAATGTAAAGTACCCTAAGTTACTAGAGTCATGTGTTTTACTTCCAAGATCAAAAACATCAAAAGTGTTCTTTCTAAGCTCCTTAGATTCATACTGTCCTCTGATCCCATTATAGCAGGAAATGCAGCTCAGTTCCTGAACAACAACTGAATTCAACAAAACATTCTAGAAGACCAAAATAAAATATTAATCAACAGGAGGTATTTAATAGACAACCACTTGTGGTCTCATCAATATTAAACACCTTTAGGGAGATCCTATCATTAAGACTTCAAAACTTATTGTGAAAACTTTCTTAAAGAAATCCTGCAGCTATCTCTCTAAAAACAGATTTTAAAAACTGTTCTTCACTCCATTTCTCTTCACTTTTCAGATGAATCAGTACAGGTCAAATGGCAACTTAAGAGCGAGGTTAAGGAACCAGAGATTCTGAGAATGTACACTTCTTGTAAGTTATCATTACTCCGAACAGGTAAATAAAAAAGACTTAAAATGTTAACCGAATGCCTAACATGGACCTCGTGTACATACCTGTTGCCATATCAAGTGTGTGGACAGCACTGGCTGGAGCACTGCCTGGCAAAGGTAGACAGGTAGACTGCAGCTAAGTCCCCGGGCCCAGAAGAGCCAGACTAAGGTGGGACAGGCAGGGTGGGGAAGACAGGCTCATTCTTAAACTGTCCCTGATGGGCCAGATCCCACCCACCGACTCAGCTTCCACAGTGAATCACTTCCCAGGAAAGGAGGGCTACAGGACAAGGAGTCTCCCCCGCCCACACGTACACCAGTGTGGACCACGGGAAGGGAAGGGAAGTGCGGCTTTGCCCACGTAGCTCAGGAGCCGGGGTCCCAGCAGTCTGTGGGGACCTTTAGCATTGGGCCCAACACTGGTCAGTGACAGCAGCCACTGGCAGACCTGAGAGTATGGCCAGATGGTACTTCTGAAAGTAATGTATTTCCTGTGTTGTAACTTTAAAAGCTGAAAACTATAATATTTAGGCTTCTGTATACTGTTCTCTTGAAAGAATATGAGGAAAGTAACCAGGATCTTCCCAAAGACAGAGGTGGTCAGGATGTCAATCTTTGATCTGTCAAAGGATGGAGATTTTGTGGTTTCCTAGAACTGAAAATACAGAGTTGCACTGGAGGTCCACTGTCCAGCAGTTTTCTGAAGGGTAGGGAAAGAAAGCAAGCTTCTTCTCTTGCCTTTCTGGAAAGGGACACCCCGAGACCAGGACTCCCGAGACAGAGCCAACAGGCTTGGCGGTGCTGACACAGCCACGTATCTGTGTGGGTCATCACCACTTTACATACTCACTTTCCGCGTCTAAGGGTTCACCCTGGGTTTCCCAAAAGGACACACTATGAAAAGTAAGACCAGGGTCGGATGAGTCAAGAAGCTCACTGCTACCCAAGAGGAGAGTAAGATTCACTAAGAAAGCACAAGTTTGGTTGGGGATTTGGCTCAGTGGTTCTGCCGCCTGCCTCACAAGTGCAAGGGCTGGAGTTTGATGCCTGGTATCAAAAAAATAAGAAAGAAAAGAAATCACAAGTTCATATGGTAAAAGCAGGAATATGAGGCATGTGTGCTAATTTTCTTTTATTATTTTCCAGTTCCTGTGTTTATTTCACATTATTTCCTAGAAACATCCTTCTTTCGGTAAAGTCTAGTTTCCTGTTTGAACAAAGAGAACAAAGTCACAGGATGTCCCCATCTCAGTGAACTTGCATCTGCCCAGCCTGTCTGGTCAAGGACAGCAGCCATAGGAGAGGAAGGCCCAGAAGACCTGTGAGGCTGTGGCAGTGGAACAAGTGGACTCCTGATGAAACATGAATGCCCAGGACCACCGACGAAATAGTATGCTTTCGGGGCCAGGGATTTAGCTCAGTGGTGGTGCCACCTGCCTCACAAAATCCTATGCTTTGCCAGCTCTAGAGTGACTGGACAGGATTTAAAAGACAAAGGCAGCTCCTTTCTTCCACCTTCCCCTGGGCGCTCCAGAAAGAACCTAGAATGACCTACAAAGTATGCATAAAGCTCTCCTTCTGCCATCACCAACTCCAGCTCCATCCCAAATCACCGCAGTCAGGTGTACAGCACAACCCAAATAACCACTCTAGGTCTTCTCACTGTTTACCTGAGGTCTCTGGGTTGCTGAATCCCAGAGCCGATCTACGCTAGTCCAAGGCCCATCAATAGGCCTAGGGACTTGTGGCCTCATCACACAAAGCTCTGGAGACTTTCAAGGACTCCTGCCTCTTCCCCCGCTCACATTCATCCAGTGGACAGCCCTCACATCTCCCTTTACAAGGTCCGCTGTATCCACTTCCTTGCTTGCCCTACTCCCCAGGACAGGACCGTGGCTCTCAGCTGCACGGCTGCCGCAGCCGTGTATTCTCCCAGCCTTCTTATTCTCTTCTCTCACTGTGTTATTCTGCGGAGTTAACCTCAAAACACCACTTTCCTAAAAGCAGTCATCTTTAATCCACTCACATCAAGCTTCAGAATTGAAGTTTTATGCTGATCAATACTCGCTCAATCTGAACTTTTCCTTTCTAGCCTAAGCATGCTGCTTGATGTTTACCATTTTCCTACTTCACACTGAGCAGAGTCGAGAACTAGACACAGACACGAATCCACCGGAGCCCTCTGCACACTGCTTCTCCATCCAGGTGCGGAGTCAGAAGCTCTCTGGGACTCCGACTCAGACCTACTGAATACATTTATGGGTCAAAGCCCGGGCGTATGTATTTAGAAAATTGACCCCCCCAAAAAAAGAAACTGATGGCATATCTCAAATCGACTCTTATGGAAAACAGATATGCAGCTAAGTTCAGGGCCACGGCCGGAAACATGGAAGAGTGGAGGAGGGAGCACTAACACTTTCACAGCACACGAGGAGACCTAAGCCAAGCCCCGAGAGATGGCTAACATTTAAGGTGACTGCTGGTTAAATTTTGGTGGGAATTCCAAACAGAGAAAAGAAAATAAGCGAAGATATGTGCCTGGCCTATTCGAACAATGGTGAATGAGAGGGGAAAGCCTGACCTTAATTAAGGCGTAAGGTACAAAACCAGTGGAAACAGATGAAAGTACCAGTGGAAGGGTGTGGTAAGCAAAGGAGACTGAACCTTGAACTTCACCCACAGGTGCCAGGGAGCCAAGGAGGGTTCGTACCCAAGGATGAAACGATCATACACATAGTTTAGAAATTTGAAAATATTTAGGGCAAATGATAACAGAAATGCTACATACACATCAACACCTACGGGATGCAACGAATGCAAATGAATGCTGATATTTACTAAACGAAGCATCTCACTTAAGTTAGAAAAAAACTAAATGGAACAGACATAACAAGAAAACAGAAAACCTAAACTAAGTAAATAGAGAAACATTTGCAGGGCAGGACAGGGCCAAGGTGCGACCTCCAGAGAGGGCAGAACTAACGCTTCGCATAGGTCCTACTGCTCTTGATCACCGTTCTCCAGCTGCCACTCCCAGGAATTCTGTGAGGATCTGTTCCAAAATCTAGAAAAAAACTATCTCAGCAAAGAAATTACCTTTAAAGCTACACCCTGAAAAATTACAATATAATAATCTAACAGCCAAAAACATACTTTAAAAAATGTTCTTCAAGAACATTGAAAACGAAAGAGTCCGCCGTGGGAACCGAGTCTGAGTCACAGCTCAACATCATGAGTGGGCTTTTTCATACGGTTAAATAGTGGGTGAAAATAAAGACACAAAGCAGCCATTGTGGGTCTGCCTGATGGTGGCTCTTGACAATGTGCTCATATGAACATGCACTGAGTGTCTTCTAAGTGACAGGCACTTTGCTCTGGTTTTCTCAAAGTCTTTTATAGTTTCCAACTATGCCACGCTGCTTCCTGTTTGTATCTAAATATGTGTTAATAAAATTGAAAAAAAGTATTTTTCAGAGCTGGGGCCTGAACCCAGAGCCTTGAAAGTGGTCTATCATGTAACCCTAGCCCCGAAAAATGAGTTTTATAACAAGAAGTTTAATAGGGTCGGGCGTGGAGGCGCACGCCTGAAATCCCAGCACTTGGGAGGCTGAGGCAGGAGGATTGCTGTGAGTT